GGACAGTTTTGTGTTGCTGGAATTGTGAGTACCATACAGCAGAGCCAAAGAAAATGCATCGCCATCAAAGATCAGAAGACAAGGCAATGAAATGTCAACTCTGCTCGTTTCAAGGCATTTCTCGTTGTGAAGTGAATCAACATTTCAAAATGGCTCATATGCAGCCAGAAAATGATCCACTTAGGGAGTCCTTTTAAAAAAAAAAAAAAGATGCACTCAGTTCTGTCACCTCCAGTGCTGAAATCTTAGAGCTGCACTTCTTGCCTATAATCATGGTATGTAGTCAAGATATGTATGGATGTTGAAATCAACACATTACGACAGACAAGTGCAAGTTATTGAAATGTTCCTGAGACAGGTTTACTGCTTCAAGTAATGGAGTAACATCATTCTGACAATCCTTACAAAAATAATTTACCTTTGTTTTCTTTAGTCTAGGGCCTCCCTAGAAAAAGAATTGCTTTTTTTAAAGTGAGGCATTTTTTTATGTAGCTAAAGTATTTTATAGTGAATTTAGCTGGTTTAATCAATTCGTCAATAGAAGTCACTGTGTAGTGGTAAAAACTTTTTTTACGGCCTTATAAATTTGGTAATTTTCTAAATAATTATATAGCCTACTGTCATTTCGTAAATACAATATTGTACTGGTACATACAATATAGTGTACACACTTGTCAGTCACTGTGTGTTCATTTTAACTTGCATGCCTTGATATACTGGTAGTGCTCTCTTTAGTTTGTTTTGTTTACTTGCTTGTATTGTCATTAGAAATGAAGGCAAGTTTTGCACTTGTCTGTATTATTGGCTTTACCTAGTTTATTCCTTTATATACCTACAAACCTTGTGAAAAGTTTACATAATTACATTGTGATGACACTTTCTTTTAAAAGTTCATTGAGAATGTAGTTTGTTGTATTGATATTATACTTATTTAAAACAAAACAAAAGTGAACTATGTTGAGGTAATTTAACTGTAACAAAAAAATGTTGGTACAAAATATTTTTATTTAATGCTTTTAAAAAATTATTGTGTGGGTTGTATCACTAAACATTTATATGGCTGTTAATGGTGGAAATCCAATGAGATACTCTCAGTTGGTCTCTCTCTTCTCTTTTAAAACCTGTGTAGGATTTATTAATTGAGGTCATACCAACTGAAGGTAGTGAAACAGCATAATATAATATTCTTTCTTTTGGTCATTCTCAATTTGAACATAAACACTAGCATCCTGATGACCATGAATGGGCATCAAAATTAAACTTTTTCTGCAATTACAGAACCAGATCTTGGTCGTGCATAGATGTATTTTGTTCAAACATGTTGCATACATGCACATTGCACATGTATAATAGTACCTTGTTAGATGTCATTTTATTTATTGACTCCCATGTGCGAAGCACATAATGGGAGTCTTTGCTGTTAGTGTGTGTGTATGTGTGTCCGACTGTTCCACTGCTATCTCAAGAACCATACATCGGTTTTTGATGAAACTTGGTGCATAGATGCTCTGGGCCAATGCGCAGATTTGATTAGGTTTTGGTAAAAATCCATGCTCGTTAATTACCTAATTTGCATGATAATTAGCTAATTTTTAGCTGTTCTATGACTGTTCCACTGATATCTAAAGAACCACTCATTGGATTTTGATGAAACTTGGTACATAGATGCTCTGAACATATGCGTAGATTTGACAAGTTTTTGGTAAAAATCTGTGCATATTAATTACCTAATTTGCATGATAATTAGCTGATTTTTAGCTGTTCCATGATTGTTCCACTGATATCTAAACAACCACTTATTGGATTTTGATGAAACTTTGTACATACATGCTCTGAACTAATGCTAGGTTTTGATTAGTTTTTGGTAATAATCC